GACTTAATACAATATGTACTCTATATATATATATATATATATATATATATATCAGAAATTGAACAATTTTGATTGCAAAAGCTACTAAATTTCAACTGGTACATCACATACTAACGCAACTACACAAGTCCGAGAAAAAAAAATTATCCCCAAATTTGAACAGAAAATTAATTAGAATTGAAAAATGATTTGGGAATAATTTTTTTTTATTATTTGTTTATATAATTTTATACATCATTTAAATGATTTGTTCTTTTTATTTATTTGATATTTATAATATTAAATATATTTATTCATTTAATAATATATGAAAATTAAATAAAAAAAAAAAAAGTTCTCTATGTAGATCACCATTCATTAGAATTTATCCCTAAAAGTAATGCATTAATTAAAATCAAGATTAGGCATCATCATCATCATCAGTCGAACATTGCCGTACACTGGCACGGCAGAGAGGGCAAGAAAGCGTCTTCACCAACCAAGCAAGAATACAGGACTGATGAAAATAATGACGGCATGGCATCTCGATGAGTTCGGTGGCGCCACCGGACATATCCTCCAAACACACGGCGCAAACACCCATATCAGCGCCTCCATTCGGGACGAAGGAATTCTCTCGCTTCAGCCCCTCGCAAGTCTTTTCAACAGCCCTTTGGAATAAGTCATCCACAAAAACCTGCAGAAATTCAAAGTCAACAAACATAGAAATCCCCCGGGAACCTCTTCTCTGGCTCTCAACCATTTCTCTGACTGCAAAACGTGCTAAGTCCGCCGCCACCGTGTGTACTTCAAAACTGCAGGGAGGGAAAGGGAGCATGCAGGGTAATGCGGATAAGAAAAAGATTTTGCATGATAAAGGAAGCGCAAGAACGTTGACATCAGGGATGGGGATGAGAAAACAGAACGGAGGCGACAAGGAGTGATCGTTGTCGAGGGATTCGGAGCCATTGGGGTATTTGGTCCAGAATTGCTGTCTGTGTCGCAATCGAATTTCGAGAGTGGTTCCTAGGGACGGAAGTGTCGTGTCCGTTGCCCTAAGATCCCAACTTAGTTTAACAGTAGCCATGGAAGTAAGAACAAAGACTGCTCTGTTTGGAGTTGTGTTTGGTTTGGGCAAAACCAGAAGAAGGTGTTGTTATATATGTAGTCTTCTATTGTCTCGAGTACTCCTTATCTGTATAGGAATTACCACCGACTTTCGTGCCTCCTTTATCTGTTTGGACTTGGAATTCTATATTCCCTTTTCTTTTCTGTAATAGTTACTAAATGTATAAACAAAGAAAAAAATTGTATTAGATTTTGTCTGTCCACACTACATCAGGCCAAAAAATACTAATTAGAAAAGGGTTCCTGATAATGGAAAGGGTTCCTCCATCTATTGGACAGCAAAATACCACTCATTTATAAATCAAAGCAAAAGTACATCTCCACATTGATACTTTTTCTTGCAAGATTGGCTGTAAAACTTAAATCTTATACATTAATTAGTAGTTGTCAAACAAATATTGCAAGTATAGAAAAGACCATAAATAGCAAAATATATTAAACCTACTTAGAGAATTGAAATGTCCCTATTTTTATTTTTTATTTTTGAAAAGGAGTATAGTTATAGCTACCTGGTAATGCATCAAAATTCTCTCTTAAATTATATATATATATTTTTTTGAACGGATTTTACAAGGGGTTGGGTTCGAACCCCAGCCCTGAGGGAGGGGAGAATGCACCATGAGTGGCTATTGCTACTTGACCCGAAGGCTCGGTGCCCTAAACTATATTTATTAGAACTTGAAAATTTTCAACTTATTATTATATAAAGGTTTCAAATGTAAATTTTGACGAAGTGCAAGTCTGCACTTTGTCATAGAGATCTTGGAGTGGCAGAGAGGGCAAATCTTCTTTTTAACCACAAAACTATAAGCACAGGATCGATGAAAGAGGTGACCGCATGGCAACTTGATCATCAATTGGCTCAAATTTGAGGTCACAATGCACTTGTTCTTATTCATGCAGTAGTGTATTTCGTTCGGGTTGAAAGACTTCTGTTGCTTCATCCTCTTCACCGTCTTCCACCATGCCAAACACTCTGCAATAATGTCCATGCCTATGAAATTATCCACGTTGCCATAGATTCTTCCAACCATGCCTTCGTCATACTTTACCCTATCCAGAAGTTCAACTTCGGCCACCAAATGTACCTCGGAGTGACCTCTTCCAATGAATTCCCTCGCGAAATTCACAATCTTTGAGGCCAAGAATTGACATGGTTCGCGGTAAAGATCCTCACGCAAAATTAGTACCCTAGCTAACTCGTTTGAGATAAGGGTCTTGCATTCCAGAGGATGCGCCAGGATGCTTGTGGGAAAGGTTAAGGAAGAAGAGAGTGGAGGACTGATGAGGTCATGGTATTGGTGTTCAGAGCCATCTGGGCGTCTCAGGAACTTCCGCCGTCTACACCAGAACCGAGTTTCAAGAGTGCCATCCAGAGCTGGATCCTTCGTTGTGGTTGCCCATACCTTAAATTTCAGTCGAAAACCGGACAAAGGTATTGGGATTTGTTGATGTAGGAACTTCGGTATTGCCATGGAGCAATTGGGAAACAGAATATACCAAGGCAAGGGGAGACGCAGAGAAGCAAGAAGCTGAGATTGGTTTTTAGGGTAATAAACTCAGAATATATACTACTTTTAGCCCTACTCCTAAACTATAGAGGACTTTCACATTCAATTTCCTTTTCAATTAAGAGGAAAAAAAATCACATGGAAATACATTGTACAAGTTACTTGATTCCAACCAATTTCATTAGAGCCGTTCGATCTACAGAAATCCTATAGTAGCTCATGGTATTGATTTCATAGCCGTCTGATTATGATAAATTGGAGTCCGATCAGAATTTGGAAACCAGCTACCACAGGGACTCATGGTTCACTAATTAACTTTTCTATAATCTATGGTATGTAGTCTGCGTTACAACAAAAAATGATGATATAGGAACAATATAATTAAGGAAAAAAAAAGGCACATGTATGTTCAGGTACAATGGCAACGTAGAGGGATGGACACATCTGCTGGTTTTCTCTTGTTCCGAACAATGGCTTCCTTAATTGCAGGCAATTTCTGGTGAACCTTCTTCCATATGTGGTTTACTGCACCATCTGGAGGGATTGGCCCGATACCACCTGCGTGGCCATTTTCATACTCAAAAATAGGCTGAACCTTAGCCATGTTTTGACGAAATTCTTCCCTCTTCTTGGCAGGAATGCTTCTGAGATGAGTTACAAGCCAATTTGGTGTCAGGGCATCACTGACTGCCACAAAAACTGAAAATTCTATGTAATCAATCATCCCTTCAAAAGGGAGCTCAATATTGTTGCTGACAACCACAGGTATACAAAGACTTTGCATGGCATCAAAAAGTCGGCATGAAGTAGGAGTGTCACCAGCTGGGTGCAAACAAAACTCCGATGTTCTCATCCCTTTAATTGACTGCTCCTTCCCAGTCGCATTAGGGAATCCTTCTTCCATAACCACTCCTGGTTCGTTAACCAACAAATCCCACAATTTCTCTCGAACTAGGCCCCCCTGGAAAACTTAATAATGTTAGCAGAAAATTCAGCAAAAGGAACAGGCTTCAAAATCTTGATTATGTATAGAAGACAAAACGTACTCATTGATATAAGTTTAGCAGTATAGCTATGTGGTATAGGAACCAAGAAAAGAAGTTTGAACAGACAATATGAGGCTGCGAGTAATGCAATTGATGATGTCAAAGAATGACCAAACAAACCAATCCTAAATTATATAGGATGCATCATGCATGTGACAAACATGACTTTATATTTCATATGTTAGATACTGACCCGATGCCTATGTTTGGCTCCCTTAAAGTAAAGAAGTGTGGGGCGTTCCTTGTTCTCTGACAACTGCAACCTAGGAAGCAAATGGGTGTATGGCACAATCACGTCTTTAAGCAATGAAACTTGAGTATGGTGTATCATCACATCTGATGAGCTCCCATCAGCTGATTTTGCATCAAGTCTGTACCACCCACCAAAATCCACAACCAATAGAATAGCCAGGGCTATCTCTGCTCTAACATGCCACATTGCAACTGGGTCTGCCAAAGAATGCTTCAAGTTTTAACATAACCTGACAATCGAGAGACTAAATCATAAGCTTTAAAACATGTTGAATTATTTCTCCTCTTTTTGCTTTAGTGATATGTAAAGCGAGAGTATCGTTATATTCTTTTATGCATTGTTAAAAGAATTAAGGCTAGCACATAAATAAGAGTTACTGGTTCCTTATGCCACCATGACATTCACAAAAGATCCAAAACCAAAATGGTAATTCAATTCCTTTGTCAAACCCTTATACCACCCATCATTCCTACATGGTTCTAAATTTCTTAGTCTTCTCGTCGCTACAAATCTAACTCACTGTCCATAAACCTTACCATTTCACAATTCATCACATTCTTCCCTGATCTCTTAATGCTATCCATATAAATAGAATGATCTAATGATTATTTGTAACAAACTCCAATATATCACACATCAAATTAGATTTAAGATTCTCTATTACAATGAGTATACTTATGATCATGATATTATTTTTACACCTTAAAGAAATTTCACATTAGCTTCTGCTCCAGACAAATTCACAACTAAACTAAATAATGAAACAAGTTCATTTCAGAACATTTTGCCAGTCTATAGGAAACCTAAATGAAGCTCACAGATACTGACACAGACGAGAAACTTTAGCATACCAGTAAGAACAAAAACATGGTCCCGCCCTCCAGACCGCTTCCAAGCATCAGTATTCCTTACAAAATTCACAACTTCCTTCTGCCTCAGATAGTCCTCGTTCCCCTCTTTCTTCCTGAAAGACCCGTTTCCTGATCCCAGCTGCATCTCAGCGCTCAGTGTCGCGAAGAATGGCACGAAGACTACATCAGCATCATTAACATCAAAAACCCTTTTTGCAAAAGACCCTGTTCTCATCTCCTCAGGGGTCTCCAAGTCCCCCAGGACCCAGTACTCGGCGCTGTACTGCTTGACCAACGGGTTCTCAGGATACGGAGGGTATTTGGTGGGTCTTGGCAACTGGGCAGTAGGGATCTGATGGTCAGGGTCAGATGGGATGCGGGAATCTGGGTGACCGGAGGACCAGTATCTATCGAGGAGGCCATAGTTGAGGGATCTGGGGAGGTCTGCTACGTAGACTTTTATGGAATTTGGATGGTAGGCAATGGGGTTTGGGATGGAATTGGACTGGTTATGGGTAGTGGTCGAATTGGTGTAGGATATGGCGAGAAAGAAGAGGGAGAGAAAAGAAAGGAGGATGAAAGTGAGGAAGAGAGATTTGGTGATGGGAATGGGATTGTTGGCAATGGCGTTGATTTTCAGTGCCATTTCTTTGCTCTCTGCATCTGTCGCCTGAGCTTTGAGAGGAATCAAATATTAGTAGAGGTCACTATACTCTTACAAAGTGTCCAGTTTAGTTCTAAAAGTTTTAAGATACTGCATCTTAGTCCTTAGAAATTTTCAAAATTAAGCCTTTAAGTGTTAGAGGAAAATCTGGGATAAAAGAGAGAACTTGCCCTGTTGTGTAGCCATCATCAGATGAAGATAGGAGAGAAAAAAACATCAGATTGCGTAACACATTTCACTCAAATTTATTCACAACTTACATATTCCAAGGCATACTTGCAAAGAGCCAAAGATCGCGAACAGTGTTTCGGATTTAGTATTACTAAGATGGTAACAAATGCTCAAACTCTTCTAGTGGAAAAGTAAGTTCAATTGCACCCACTGGGACATCTAGCATAATGTAGAAAAAAGCAAAGATAAAGCTCTAATGCTGTCTCAACGGGACAGAGACCTCCATTCTCCTAACCCCAAACCATAACAAACTAGCGCTCCATCAGAAGCTCATCGAAGTTCCAGTCCCTCACAAGGTCCCTTCTTACAGCATGACTTCGGACTAGACGTGGAGCACCAGTCATTCCACTGGGGTTCTGAAAGCTTGGATGTGGGGTCACCTTGGATGTTGACTGTCGAGATGAATTTGATCTTGGAGCTGGAACAGATGACTTCCTGGTTAAGCAGTTTGCCATTGCAGAACATCTTCCCTCGTTGTCTGAACTGGAGACAGAGTAACTCCTAAAAGAGTGCGAGGGACTTTCTACACCATGGCACACAAGACATGCTAGACTCATGTTTGGTCTTTAAGCAACCAAAATCAGGGCTCACCTTATTTATGCTGCAATGAAGAAAACCAAATAAAAGAAGAATTAGACCATCAATAACAGGCAATAGAACTTGAAGCTCAATCAGTAAAGGCTCCAACAAGGAATTTCAGTTCATATATTTCAATACCAACTATCAGAAAAATCTATTTCAGATGAAAAAAAAAACAACCTGGGTGTCATATCTACTTTTTATCAACTTCTCTTCACTGACTGAAATGTATCTTTTTAGATGAAAAAAGAATGCATGCAAGTTAAAAGTAGACACACTCATGTTAGATGGCAGAGTAATTTGGGGTTAAATGTGACACAATACTATTTTTCCCTTAAAATGATTGCACCATGCACACTGCCTAGGTCCTTCACCACAGTACTAATGCAATCTGATTTTGAGATATAGTAATTCAGGATTGATTTCAAGGGAAATTCAGAACACTACCTCTCATTGTGTTTGATCCACAATCTTACAATATTGTACTGTCAGTATAAATTCATTGAAGATTTCATGTAGTAAATTAGGTGTTTAACTGAACAACAATCTTCATGCAAAAACAATAGATAGTGTTTCCTCAAAAATCCAATTTATGGTGTAAACAGATAGGATGACCTTTCTTGATCCCAGTTTCTTCTATTCCTTTCCTCAGGTCAGCATACATCGCCCAAAAATGTTTTAGCCACAATTTCACAGTAATCTCATCCCCCCTTACTTTATTTCCTACCTCAGGGGTACCAGGAATCTTACTAGGGCCTAGAAGAACCTCATCCTTGGTGATATACCCATGCAGATGCTTCCATTACTAAAGATTACCTCCCCAACCAAAAATGCCTGATTGATCTCCATCTGGTGACTGAAAGAGAGGCACAAGCAAGGCAAGAGATAAAAGACTTATGTCCAAGGATCTTCTAATATCACATACCTTATTGAGATCATAAATTTTCCAATGAGAAACCGCATCCATGAACATCTTAAGCTAAAGCATATAAGCACCCCATTGGTAAGAAAGTGGGTAGGACTGGGGCTTGTCTTAACTTTTAAGCTCAAATCTTAGTAATGACGTCAATTGATCTAAAAATATAAGCCTACTAAAAGTAAAATACATATTTTCTGATGCTCTACAGCTTGACGATATTCATGCAATTTTCACTGCCAAGTATTAACTAACAACTGGAAACGCCACAATAAATGTTTCAAAAAAAACGACTTAAAAGTAACAAGACAACATTGTCAGAACTTGAGAAACGAAGCTCAACCAGTGAGCAATTTTCATTCTGAAGCTCTAGACAAAAAGCAATATGTTCTCATATGTTATCCTCTCCATTCAATTTGAAGTGAAACAACGGCTAACAGCTAACCTTAAATTTCTTCCTACAAAACATAAATATTCAAAATCATCCCTCCTAGTAAGCACTTATCTCCTAAAATTTAAGATGAAACAATGCCAGAATCTTGAGACAAATTAGGAAAATATGCCAAATAGGCATGCATGCATAATAGGTTTATTTCCCCAAGTACTTAAATAAATAAACAAAAGACAATACATAAAGAGTAAACTAATTACTAATCCAATCAACTAATAATCCACCAAAGACTTCCCACTGGGGGGGAGATAAAAACGGATAAAAAAAACTAAATTCACTAAACCTAACCATTAGATGCAGACAAGCTCTGATTCCCTAGTGAGCAATAAAAGACGAGGTTAGGTTACCATGAACCACAATAACCCCTAAAACTCCGAAAAGAAAAAAAAACAAACTTTCTTTTCTTCCCATCTAAATCTTAAGAAAGGAGGAAAACCCATTTCGTAAAGTATCTAAATTGAGTTTCCAGAAGTTGAAGTAACCATGAATTAATTACCCCATGTCAAGAAAATTGAAGTCCTGACGACCCAACAGAAGAAAAGAAAAACTCACAAAAAGGCATAGAAATCACACCCACAAACAAGGAAAAGATCCGAGAAACAGAAAAACCAAAGTTAAATTTTAACAAAGTGAAAAAGGAGGAGATACGGTGAAGAAAAGCAAGGAGATTGATATCTGAGAAAACTAACCTTGAATGGAGTCTGGCTTCTCAGGAAAATGGGATTGAATGACAGTTTTGGGTTGGATTCCTGGGAGATTTGACTTCCGTCAGACTAAGTAGAAGGAATTGGCCCTATTTATAAGGGCCGTGTAATCCAGACTGTTATTTGTCCACCACGAGGAGATCCCGTACGCCGCGATGTTGCTCAGTTGAATTGTTTTTGTACCAAAAACTTGCTTGAATTATTTTCCCCTTTTAGGTCGTGATGCTTTTCTTACTGGGTATCATCCTAATAATAAATATATTTTGTATTTTGAATTCAAAATTATACAATTTAAATTATTTATAACAGAAAAACTATTAGTATTAGTAATAATATATTAATATTACTATTATTAATTATTTAAATAATTCAGAAGTTATTTCTTTTCATTGAAAATAAAAAATTTTAAGTTAAAGTTACATGATATATGAATGAAATAAGATAAAAGATAAGAGATAAAAGATAAAATATGATTATTTTCTATTATATAATTAAGATAAAAAAAATTAATACTACTATTATTTACAACTCAGTTTAGAATTTTATTTTATTATTATCAGTAATATATTAATTTATCTTAAATAGACTATTCATGTGGCTTAGGAACTATCCACTTATCCCAGCAAATCACCATTATTTTGTTGTTATTAATAGTTTAGTGTTTTGTAATCAATTTTATATAAATTATAAAGGCATGAACCCTGTAATTTTTATAATTTATTATTAACTCTATAGAGATTATAAAATTAAAGTGTTTACATTTCATATAAGATAAATTATAAAACACCTTTTACGATAGGAGCTGAACTTCTCCTAGGTCGAGTTCGGGTCAAAAAGTTGAGTGAGCTTGTACCCAAATTCGAGCTGGATTTGAGTTGGATTACAATCACATTTCAAAATTAATAAATGAGCACAAATCTTTAAAAGGGGAGATCCAAATGAAAATCCCAGTTTCATAAGATTGTAGAACCAAAAAATAAAATTTTTTTAAAAAAATTATGGATGTCCACATACAATATGGTGCAGAAATAGTTGCTGCTTTTCATTGACGTTTCAAACATCCGCTTATCTCTACATTTTCTCGAAAGGCTATACAGATGATCGATACATGAGATGGATATGGTAGACCTATAGATATGATGCTACCCCCAGAAATTTGCTAAAAATTGCAGAATAACAGGGAGAAGAATATATACAGATAATGTATGGCTGTAAGAATGAAACGCTGATTAAATGAAGAAGAATGAATGAGAAACGGATTGTTTAGGCGGGCGAACCATTCATGTCAACGTCCATGTTTTCGGGTTTAGATAGAGATAGATCATCACCTCCGAGCTGGCAAGGATCAGTGGAACCAGGTGTGCACCATTGATCTGGGAGTGAGAGAAAGTTTGTCGACATGAATTTTCTGAATCTTTTCTTGTACTCCTTAGGAGAGATTACAGTAGGCAACACATTCTTAGGAACAACAAGAGAAGACTTAACCCATGTCTCCAGTTTCTTGTCCAAAGTGTACTGCCTCAGATAATCAATAATCCCGCATACAAGCTCCCGGCGCTGGGAATCTACCCCCACAAGTAAAGAATAATCCATCACGTTTATTGCCTGTCAAAGAAAGAAAGGAAAAGAGAGATTGTCAGCATATAACCCATTTCACTCAATCACTACTTGTTTTCTTTCTTATCTAATGATGATGTTATAATTTACAAAAATTTAATATCTTTTCTTTGAGAACCTCCTATCTCTCTGTTTTTTTTAGGTAAGCAGAGGCTTGGGACGCTTGCATGCTGTAGTCATTTTATAATTATTCATGATATGGAGCCATCCAGTATATTTAAAGCATTTTCAATGATAGAATTATATAAATATATCATTCAAAGGTTGATTTCAATCATTATATAATTCATCTAGTAAAGAAAATTTTCTAGGACTGAAAGACTCACATTGAGGAAAGTTGTATCATTAAATACAGCCCGCTGCAAGAGACGTTTTGCTCTGTTACTAACATACAATGGAGAGGAATTCATGTCATTGACAAAGTTCTGATCCAAAAGAACATCTCTGGAACCATCAGCAGCTGAATTGAATCGACCATGTAAGGCGCCTTTAAGATCATACTGGCGGGAAATGTTTCTACCAAAGGTAAGGTTCTCCATCACCATAAGATCATGCTTCAACTCTTTCCCACTTTTAGTTTGTCTGATGATTACCTGCAAAATTTTGTAAGTTTAGAAACATCAAACAAAAGTCAACTCATAAATATCAAAGTTAAAAACTGGAGGAAACCTGATAAATGCCAAGAACTTTAGCAAGGCAAGTTTGGTTCCCAGATTTGAATGATTTATTCATGTGCTCGAAATAATGTGGAGCAAACATCTGAAATGAATCACATTCTGTCCTCTTAATTTCCTTTATGATAAATCTGTCATCAATTGTTTTAGCAAAAAAAGATTTACTCTTTCCTCCTTTGGCATCCCAATTTTTACAGCGGCAGAGGGAAGAAATAAAATCAAGCTCTGAATGGCAGCAACGGTTCCGTAGATCACGGAACTGATTGGCATATAGACATATCACAGAGTATTTACCCTTTCCAAGGGATCTGTTAGCCCCAAGGGAAACTTCCTGGTTAAATGCTTCTGGAGGAACTGGAGAATCCAACAAGCTCAATCCATCAAAACTGGAGAAGTGAGGCTTTTCTGAAGAAGAGCTTTGAGTAGAGTGGACTGAATCAGAATCCGAGGAAGAACTAAACGACGGATGTGAAGTTGAGGTTGGAATACGAATTAGGCCATGTGCACTTTCAACTATTTTTTCTTTCTTGTTATCCACATTTGAGGAGTCTTTTAGCAAGGCTAGCGCACAAGCAATTATACTTGAGAGTTCACCATCAAAGTCTGACACAATAGAATCATCTCCCACAGGGATATGTAGCCGTGAACCTTCCTCATTGATCAGCTGATAGCCTGTGGGCATGTGTTCTTGATAGTTGCTAACACATTCAAACTTTGGCACAAAACCTCTTTGAAGATCCTTCATATATATCTTCCTGATTTCAGAAAATGGCATCCAGAACCAACCATTTGAATTTTCCAGGCAGGAAAGCAGCGGGCATGGGGATCCACCATTTCTAGATTCATTTAAATCAACAGCACAATCAATGCTATCAAGATCCGTAGAAATTGGAATTGTTCTTACCACATCCAAATGATTTGATATAGGCACCTTCTCTGCTACAGAATTGTTATCATCTGCATGTTGAAGCAAAACTGCATTGTCTTTTGGCTTCTCAATATCCTCAGCCACAGTAGAGGTATCATGGACACCATTACATCTTTCAGATACTTGGTCAGGTTTTTTGACTTCCATTTCATCATATTGAAATTCATGTCCAACTGAAGATGTAACAAAATTACCTTTCACACTGCCCATATCATTTGAACCTTCTTCACCATTTAGAGGGTTAGTTGAAGTCATCAAATTTCCTACAGCAGCAGGGCTGTCCATCTCCAGCTTCAATTTTTCCTGCACTGTTTTCTTAGATGAACCAGCAATTACTACTGTAGGATCGGGCAAGATAAGTGAATGAATACGTCGATCCCAAATGCACGATTCCAGCAGAAGTTCCCACCTTATCCAGTTCAAGCTAAGAAGCTTGTAAGATTCCTGGTTTGGACTCCCGTTTTTGGCAGCAATATTCAAAATTTTGGCCTGGTATTTTTGATAAATGAGGCACACCCAAGAGAAACAAAACCCCAATAAACATAGAAGTTCCAGTATTATATATGTTCTTTTGTGTTAGGGGAGAGGTGAGGGAAAGGCAAAGATAAAAAATGCAACTTGAAGCATTTCTATAATTAAAACAACAACTCACTTTAAAATGCAAATCAATGACATATCATGTATATGAAAAGTTTATACAGTCAAGTTTCAAATGTATTTTATGAAGAAAACAACAAAATAAGCAGATACAATAGACAACATAAACCACTGAAAAGACCACAGAGCCAAAGGAACCTCAAGGGTTCACAGTAGCACGCAAACACAAGTGTGGGCAGTTGTTTAGATACGTGAACAAAATGCAAGAACAGGAACATCCAATAATAAAATAAATAGAAACGACTTAAATAAACTAACCTCAAATTCAGAAGTTTCCAGTTTTAATATCTGCTCAACATCAGAGAATTCTTTCAATGAGCCTTTGAGGTTAAGAGTTGAGCCAGTTAACTGAGATCTTATCTTTGACAAATAGCTTCCCACTTCTCTGAAGAATAGCATCCCATTTGAATACACCTTGAAGAAAATGAGAGGAAAAAAACAACCCCAATACCAATCATGAGAAAAGTGAGGACTAGAATGGATGAAGTCCAGCATTTCTTTCTGCAGAACTATGAGAATTAAAATCAGCACAAAACTTAGAAAAGAGACAAACCTTTTCACATTCTTCTTTTAGCCAGTCTGATCTGATAGAATTGTTAAATTCCAGCTTCCGTGGAGGCAGAGACACAGTATAACTGGCAACTGAAGAGTATTTAAACATTGCAACCATGGGACCTAACCTGCTCATGAAGAGAACGCCAGAATTAAGAGGTCATTGTTTTTGAACAAAAAGAGGAAAAAATACAATACAAAAATATATCAAATTACAATAAACAATGAAATACTACGCCTTGGTGACAGTATTTTTTCCCTCTTGGCAAATAAAGCTGATAGTCACAGAAATTTATAGATAAATTAAATGGATACAGAAATCCCTACCCAAAGAAGTAGAGCATAGAATGACCACAACTGGCTAATCTACTAGATGAAGAGTTCTCAGAAAAGCAAAGCTCTAAGAACTTTCCAAATGAAAGACCACAAGCAGCATTCGAAATTAGCACCCTCTTTGTAGATTTTGAAATTCCATTCCCAGTTTCACACTTGACACAACGACTCCACATCCAAAGTCTTCCATCAGCCTCTCCAGGCAGAGGCTTCTCATTAGGAAGCCGTTTAACTTGTATTGTTAACTGCGTATTATGATGTACATAATAGTAAAAGTGAGCTTCTGGCAATTCACCACATGTGCCACACTGCCTTCTCTGCATAAATCAGCAGTTGATTATTAGAACAAAATTTCATTCTACCTGAAATTAAGAAAAGGAACCAAACATATCTCCCCACACCAAACTCAGTCAAAGATATTCAAAGACCTCTACTAGGGCGAGGACATTGAAAAAGACCTCAATAATATGACAGATGAAACACTACATGCCAAATAGTCTAGAACAGTAATATCTTAATCAAATTTGACTCATCTAGAATCTTGTACTACAAATAATTATTAAGAAAAAAGAAAAGAAAAAAAGATGGAGATCTCAATAACCTGATTGAGTAGATTGTCACGCAAGAACTTCCCAAGAGGAACATCAAAATTCCTGTAAAACACTATGTGAGAAAAATGGATCTGCTCACAAATAGTTCCTCTTAAAGCATTTCGACTAGACATAAGAACTAAGATACTTTGTGAATCCAGAACTGTATTGATGTCCTCCTTGCTTTGCATTTTGTCATCATTATAAAGATTATCTATGTCCTTAACTGGGTCTTCATGGGAAGCTGATAAAGAAGCTTGACCATCTGCAACACATTTCTCTTCAGTACAATTTCCATTAGCCTCCACATCACAATGGTTTGACACCTCAGAAGTTTCCAATACTGGAACTGTTTCTGTAATCTGATCAATGGAATCCCTTCCATTGAACCCAAAATATGAATATAATGAATCGTAAGGAGCAGCCGATGCAATAGGTAAATTCTTCCCCGTAACTTTTTTAATAGAAGCTGAAAGAGATGACAACCTAGAAAGAATAGCTGGATTATATGGCTCAGAAGATATTGCTGAGCTGTAGTCTAATACCCCGTTCCCAATTTTTTCACCTTCCACATTCGCAGTTAGGTGCAAGTCACAGTCATGGTACCCATTGGAAATAGGAATATCAATTGTATATGGCTCAGCCACAGCTTCAGTAGGCTCATCAACAGAACTACTTAAGTTAGCAATTTCTAATGCATGAGATTGTTGAAAAATTGGCACACTATCTGCTACTTGTGCAAAAGGAATGGTAGAGAACATTGCCCTCTGATCAAAAAGGAAAGAAGTCTCAAGGATCAAATGATATGCCCTTATAACAGTATATTGCACCACAGACTTAATTCTCTTTAGTTCATCAGAATGACTTCCTTTCAGCAAAATCTGCAACAACATATCACGAAGTCAACAGGAGGTGTTTTGACAGTAATTTCAACTAATGGTGTAGGAAGAATTTCAAAGAAAAAGGAGAAAAAACAGAGGAGGAGGCAGGGTTCCTGACCATATTAGGATAGAGATAGTGCCAGGTTAAACTGGTGAAGTCGAAACCAAAAAAAAAAAGAGGAGGGAGCTCAAGGAGAACTGTAGAAGTGATTGAAGAGGACAAGAAATAAAGAATAGAGACATCTCAAGAAGACTATGACCTAAATTATAGCAATAGAAATGTTAAACCACTAAAAACCAGGGAAACCATCCTTTCAACTCAATTGTCAATTGTCTTGCAAGGTCAAGCTAGACAACAATTTTTCTTTCAGATCTGTATATGGCTTTGGCAAGTTAGTTGTTCTAAAGAGGCTAAAAATAAAAGGTATGAAGTTTTAAATTCGCCACATGTATGCATTCCAGACATATACAACTCCAAATCAGAACAACTAATTTTGCCGGTCAAAAAAAAACAGAACAACTAATTAATTGTTTTAATTACCACATCCCCATCCTTTTAGCACTCCTATCAGACCTCATCTGTCAATACAAGAAGGACAAAACTCACTCGTTCTGAGAAGAACTAAGAAGAAGAAGAAGAAAAAAAATTAAAATATAAATCATAAGTTGAAGACACACCGTGCAACCCAAATGTGTTGGCAAACCCTCCAGGAACATCAATGTTTTACTTGGGCACTTGCCCCCTTCACCAAGAGCAGCATGTTCCTCAATAAACTTTTCAATATGAAAGGAGTCACATTGCTTAACCAAATCAGTCGGTTTTAACTTCTGATTCATTAAAGTCTCAGGAGATATGATTTGCAAGCCAGTACAGCGAGCAACTCGCTCTAGACGGTGAAGCTTCATATCAAAGACCAGTGTGACTCCTTTGACTAGAATCAACTCTTTTACATCACGTGAAACAGTTTTCTCCACCAAGATCACATTTGGATGCAATACATCTATTATCTCAATAAGAGTCTTCAGATGACCTCTTTCCTGTTTAAAAGGTAAAAGGATCATAAATAAACAGTACCGCACTTCCATGTTACAGAGATTGAACAGATTTTGATAATGTTACCTGATCCATAGAATCAAGCGATAACAAACCACTAGAAGAATGACCCGACATTCCTTGGATTAGTAACAACCTTGGGTTCTTGTACTGAGTCGGCATGTGCTTGTGAGCTGCATGCTTTTTAAAGACCAATCCTTTGATTAATTGACTGCAAAATAAATATCACTTTTTTTAGCTAAATGGCAAATGCCAACAGAAATAGCACAGTAGTTTTGTGGCGTAACAAGGAAGGTATTTGCATTATGTACTGAAAAAAGGATACCGTAGCATCATTCCTGCGAATTTTAATTGCCTCATGCCATCAGGCATGCCAAAGAGAACATTTAAAGGGTGATCTGTGAGAAACAGTTGTCTGAACGAAGATGACATGGTCAGAAAACATGTTACCATGCATGTTTAATATACCAACAACTTAATTCTAGCATGCATATTTCACATTACCTTTGGCCACGAGAACCAGTTGCTATGCATTTCACTTTCACATAGCCATCTAGATCCAATGTCTTGCCATCATTGGAATCAGGCTTCAGAAATGAAGCAGCTTCCCATGATAAGGAAGTAACAATATCCACCCAACTTTCACCATCCTTCACAGAACTGGCAATACCCATAGATTCAAAAAGCTCACTCACAACAGCTTTGAACTTCCCATTCATTATTTCTTCCATTGCTTTTCGTTTTTCCTCTTTAAACTTGAATCTACCACTGCTCTCATCCTTCATATGACTCAAAGAACTTGACTTGTTCCACTCTCTATCATCATCTTCATCATCATCATAAGCTACAGTATGCTCCAAGTCATCCTCTGGATCTTCAGGTTCTGGTGGATCCCAAATATGGCAATCCATTTCAGAATCACTAGATTGAGAAATCCCAGCCTCTTTATCAGAGGACCTAGTCACATTTTCAACATCTTTTGCTTCTTGATCATTACTGGATTCAACTATCTCCACATCTCTCACAACATCCATATAATTGCTAATTCTGCCATCTTTCAAGCTGTTTTCTGCCACTGAATTTGGTTCACCAACTCTATTCATTGAACCTTGTGAACTATTCTGCAACCGGCTGTTTGGCTTGTTATTTGGACTCTCATGATTATGGTCCACGGTACCTTCCTCTTGATCACGTCTGACACATAATTCCATGGATCAGAAGACTTAAGCTAATACAGATGAAGAAAAAAAGCTTAAGCATCAGAATTAACAAGATGGCGCACCGAATACCAACCTATCACATGAGTTTATGTCAACAGAAAAATCACCTAAGAATTAATGGAAAAACAAGAATTAGACAAAAATGACATGGAACCAAAGTAGTAGAAAACTCTTTATCATAAAATGAGGAGAGATATTTACTGGAGCCTGAGTAAGAACGATCACTGCTTGACAAGGATGTAGTTGGACTAATAGTTGGCGTATAAGAAGGACTTGTACCATCCTGTATTAGTGGTTGCCGTCCTCCATGCTTCTCCAAACAAACTTTACAGGACCAAAGAGGGCCTCCATTATTAAAATGTAAAGCAATTCCATTCTCCTCTTTTCCTTTCTCCTCTTTACACTTTGTAAGGTCAGCACCACAATGATGACACATACCATACATCTGATCAATTCCTGTATCCTATTCAGTTAAAGAGGGAAAAAGAATGAGCAGCAAATAATTGTAGATTAAGGTTTCAACAAAAAGAAGCAAACGCGTCTTGCAAAATCTGGATTTTCATAGAAGCAGGAAACGCGTAGTAAACACCTCATAATGTGAAATTAAAATACCAGATAATTATCTGAAACCGACATATTTGTTCATAAAATTTCTATTCATAACTACTCTTAATTACTACTATATTCAGAGACACTTGTCAGTTGCCAAACAAAGGAAATACCCAGAAAATAAAAAATAAAAAATAAAAATAAAAAAAGGATCATATAGCAAAATGATCAATTCCCAGAAACTCTAGAGATAAACCCATGTTCAAAATCAGATTCAAAGCATAGAATCACTGGCTTGTATTGTTAAAAAGAAGATGAAATTTATTAGTAAAAACTAACAATTATCTCAATCAGAAGATGAACGAGGAAAGCAAAAATTGTTGATTGAACAACCAGAATCCAGATTCCAGAACAGTGATGGGTTGATGAAAAGAACTACAAGAAGGTGAATTAACGAATAATTCCCAGAAGAAAAAAAAAAACAAAAAATTTAACGAAATGAAAACAAATTGTTTTAAAAATAAGAGGGGTAATACCCATATGAAATCTTGAATGCCACAACAACCAAGAACAACAACACGAATTCCCCAGACTGATCAACAAAGTATAAATGAAACTCAAAGAAGGAGGAAATAAGAGTTCAAGAAAAACCCATGTACCCAGAATGTTTTTTACAGCCAATTGGTGGAATCAATCAGCCAAAATCTACAATCAACCCATCTTGAATTTCTAAAACAGAAAGAAACTACACTAAATTCTTTTAAAAACCATGTTATAAACATTCTCATTTCCAGCTTTCCCACTAAGATAAAGAAAGTAAAGTGGATAAATCAAAATCAGACAAGAGAATTAAGGCAGTGAGAAAGGAAACATGACTTACTCTCAAAGCAATCCAAAGAACAAAGATTTGGGTATGCCTTGAAATCCAACGTGGAGCATAATGCAAACTTAATGTGGGTCTTGGTTTTCCTCTCAGTAGGAAGCAAGATTTTTCTCTCCCTAGAAAGAAAAGAATTCAAGAAAAAAAAACAACATAAAATGAGTTCATGAAAAGTGAAGACACACAGAGAAGGAAGGAGAATGAGGAAAGAGAGAGAAGAACTAAAGAAACTAAAAAAAAAAAAAAAGTTTTTTTATTGTGGGGCCCATACTCTCTGTATTTTACTACTACTGTAATATATACTGTAGTAATAATTAGTAAATACCAGTATTTTTTGGAATATTAACCATATTTATGTCCATATACGAAGTAGATACACTTGAAATAAATAATTTGTTTTTTTTAGTACAAAGGGGTGATGTATTGCATAGGAGTAATTTTTTTCTCAGACATCAATACATATTTTATTAAAGTACGGTGTTTTGTAATTTATTTTGTGCCAAATATTAAATAAAAAATTCTTTTAAAATATCAATCTCTCTTAATCCATTAACTAGTAATTTAACAGTTAGGTGCAACTTAAAAAAAAAAAAAAAAA